ACTCAGACCAGTGATATTTGGGGTCACAAGTTTTTGCCATGGATATTTTGTGGGTCAGAAGATAAAAAGTTTGGGAACCACTGTTTTACACTACTAATTACTAGATGTTCTTGATCCCTGCGAGGATATAAACTGATTGTAAAGCAGTAAGACATTTAACATGAGTTATACTCTAACCTTCCAGCAGATGGCGCTAACAGAGCAGGAGATAGTTAGGCATGCGCTGTTTAGATTTCCAGCGAAGAAGAAGACCGGAAACAGAATGTTCGGCGTTGTGATGTAAACATCAAATTTACCGACTGATAATACAAAAATGTCGATAGTGTTTGTACCAAAGAAACTTCGAGGCAATGCGAAAATTAACCAGGAAACAATACAGAGGGTAAGACACTTTTAACGAATGTTTACGAAACGACTAAATGCAGTTAGGAGTGGTTAGCATTTAGCCGCTAGGCAGACAATGCTTATCTGCATTTTTGTTCGGCTAACGACGTTTTTTTTTTTTTTCTGTTTTGAGAATATTTAGTGTCGGTAATGGGTTTTAAGAGATGAATTATGAAGCCAACATCACAGAGTGCGTGAATGTCAATTGATTTGTTCCAGCTGCTGGACGAAAACGACCAGCTGATCAGATGCATCGCTGAGTACATGCAGAAAGGACGAGCAGTGGAGTGCGTTCAGTGAGTCAACAAGCCTTCCTTCCCTCGTATTATCGCTGTGTTTTAGGTAAAACCTCGCTATTTTTCTGCCTTTCAGATACCAACAAATCCTGCACCGCAACATCGTCTACCTGGCGACCATAGCGGATGCCAGTCCCGACGATAGTCCGTCTTCATCGGATGTAAATAGATGCTGATCAAAGTTATGGAGGGTGAATTTTGATTTGAACTGTAGAGATGATACTTCATGTTTGTTTCCAGGGTTTATCCAACACACCTGCTGTGAATGGACACGAAGGGACGCCGTGAATGTTTGTTTCAAATRATCTCCGTTAATTTATCACATTCCCACTTCATATTTTGATCAGATACTTGTGTGAAGTTTTGTAAACATTTTTTTCTGCACAGCAATCTACTTCAAATAAATATTATATTTTAAACACTTGTAGCCTTAATTGCATATTMAACTGTTTGTAGTCATTCATTCTGTAAGAACAACACGTGTGCATTTCAAAATGCTAATTATTATTTTATTTATTTTTTATTTTTTTGCATTGCTGGTACACTTGGAAAGAATCAGTTGCCAGCTCAAGAGAACAAAAAGCAACAAAAGCCAAGCGGTCCCCGTTCATATTTTCTATCAGGTCAACATTTTTTTTTTTTCAATCTTTTATAGCCACTAGTAAACCATTTTACACAGCTGAGAAGCTAACAGTTACAGTCCAAGGTCTGTAATGATGTCTTTAAAAAAAAAAAAAGAAAAGGCTGCAACAGTTAGGGAAATAACACAGACAGAAAGCAACAAACCCTATATTTTGATTGTGCAAAGCACATTAACTATAAAAAGATATATATTTATATGTATATACAGCAAACAAATCTCTGTAAACATGTTAAGTATGTTAGTTATCTGAAAACATGACGTCATTTCATAAATACAGGCAACATTGGCATCCGCAAACATCACAAAAAGATAACATTCTGGGCTTTTAAATGCAGCCCGTTGCCATAGAAACCGAAGGGACAAGGGCTCACGAAAGGAAAAAAAAAAAACCCTCGTCACACGTTTTAGTGTTTAGTGTGGCATATTTGGTAACCTCTGTAGATAGATGYTGTAGTTAAACTTTGTAGAAAAAGAAATGTGCTTTTTCACATATTGGGAGGTGGAAAATATTGGTTTTTTTAATGTAATATGTCTACAATACTAACATACGGTTATGGTATAATATGTAAGAAAATACAAAAATAAGATTAATACTGTCAATAATTGTTCACAAAAAATATTGTATTATCAAACAAACTAAAAGTTAGGGTTTGTGGGAGTTGGTGTCAATTTGGAGCAAACAAGCACTAATTAGAGATGGATATGAAGATGTGGAACTTCATGTTTCAATCTCAGAACGTTTTTATTTTTTTTGTCCTAGCACTATTCATCCTCTGAACACCACTTTGGTTGGTTGGAAATAATAATCTGCAAGTGCTATCAATACCAACATGGCACATAGTTACAACTAAAGTCCCTAACTCTGGTCATAGGATGAAAAATTAGTGTATTTCTRTCAAATTACACCTATGCAGTGGCTTACTAGATTTATGCTGAGCCTGCTCAAAGCCTCTCAATAAAAAGAACTACGTATTTATATTTCAACTTTAGTACTATACAGGTTATGAAACAGTAGATGGTAGCTGTACTCAGTCATCTTGCGTGAGATTTGGCAGTTACAGCTATGTAGACACAGTATACTCATTATGGGGCAAAATGAGAGCATTTCAAGCCCATGCCCTCTCGCAGTCCCCCTCTACACACACACACACACACACACACACACACACACAGCTGCAGAAGCAAGTGGGTGACGGCCGAGCACGTCTCCAGCTCTTGTCTGATGAATCCGTCAGCTCAACAGACAGAGAAACGACCACAAGGCTAACTGCTGCCAGCATGACACATGCACCTGTCAGAGTTAAAACATGGCAGTTTGAAAAACTTCAAAATATACTTTTTTTTTTCTTTTAAATTGGGATGTTTGACATGGAAAAATATAGATAGAAAAATGTTGAACCAGTGTGTATATGTTGCCTCTGAGGCTCTGTAACCTCTCAAACGTGTGGATGTGGAGTGTTGGCTGCAGCCGAGCTCGTTCAGAGGCTCGTGTCGTCAGAGCTGCAGGTCCTCAGTGGTGCTTCACCACCTTTAATCAGAACTGGTGAAGGTAAGAGGGTCTGTGCTCAGGTTTGAGGGGGAAGGATTTGAAGCCCTTGGTCATGGGTTTATTATGTTGTTGCTGCTGCTGCTGCTGCTGTTGAGTGAAGGGAAAGCCAGAGGAGATCCCAGCAGAGGGTGAGCAGTCACTAGTGGTGGACCACACAGGAGACTGCAGCATCTGCATGGAGTCGCTCCACTGGGAGGAAGGAGGCATGTTCATCTGGTACAAGGAAGAGCTGGGATTGGGCATGGTGTTTGTCTGCGCGCTGTGCTGCCACGGTGCTTTCGGAGGCCAGGTTTTAGTTTTGTTGTCCTGTGAAAAATACAGGAAGTGACATCATTCCTTCTGGAAAACTGAAAACTGATGTTTCACTGTGGCGATGCTCATACCTGGTTGTCATCACCAACGTTGTGTAGCGGTGGTGAAGGTAGGGTGCACACCTCTGGCTCAACACAGCTGTGTTTTCTAATGGAAAAAAAAGTTTAATGTAACTTTTTCATTATTCATGTGGAGAGACGTTCTACAGCAAGGCTCAATTAAACCTCAGAGAACGTGAGCTGCTTTAAAGAGACGAGACAACTTCAGACCAGTAGAGCTGGAGACTCACCTCCTTTGTTTAACAGCTGCTACAAGGTCTGGCCCAGAAAACATGGAGAACAGGCTGTCGCCATTGGCCGACGACGTCTCATCACTGGAGCTGGCTGAATCCCCCTGATTGGTTGACCAGCTGCTGTTCACGGCCTCGCTGAGGATACAACCATAAGTCGTGTTAATTAGTGTTTCCAACAAGTTCCCTCAGTTTACATTTTCCACAGGATTACATTTAGTTGATGATCCAAAACAATTAAATAAAACCTAAAACAATTCCCTGGGATAGGAATGTTAAGCTGGAAAATGTAGATGTCTGGTGTGCACAGACAGGATCCTCCATTTTCAAATAAATGCTGGATTTAAGTGTCATGTTTTTAATGAAACAATTATATA